AGATGGATGACGACACCACTCGTCAACGAAATCGCATTTCTAACGCTCGGTAATTCCCACTATCTTCAAATAAAAAATCAACCATCAAACAAACATCAATGCCGCCAAGCCCTCCCTAAACATTTGCCTCGGGGAAACAAAACGATAAAAAAAAAAGAAGCGTACCCGAGATTTTCGAAGGGCTGGCCGAAACCCCCGACACTCCGGTCGCCGCGACGACGCAGATGCGCGACGAGAGAGCGCGGAAGGCCTCCGTACAGTTTGGGATAAAACTACACCGTGTTTCGGGCGTTTAGCCCCCGAAATTGCCCAAAAGTAGCCCGGAAATGCCAAAAAGAGCACCGGAAATTTGGCATAGCAGTTATTCAATGCAAACTCAAAGTTTAGAGCTGACTTATTTTCATGCACGCGAGCTTGAAAAGTACCACCCGAAAATGATTTTTCCCTGCTGCGTACGTTTGAACGGGTCGTAGCTCGAGCGCGGCGGCGACGAGGCAGGTCCATCCCTATACGGGCCCGGCCACGGTAGACGACGCCGAGTCGGTGAACGGCGATACGATGGGTCGCGGTCGAACAGGTCCGGGTGGTTGCAGACCTTGCGCAGCTGCATGAGGATGTTGATGACACTCATGAAGTGACCAGCGGCCAGTGTCTCCTTCGTTCTGCAACCAGGGTGTTAGCCAGGAATGAGTGTTGTGGGACACGGAGTGCAGAAAAAATATTTGCGAGTGCAATTTTACAAATGTACACGGCTTTAGATCAATATTTTAGGCCGTGCTAGACATTTTAGGCCGTGCAGTTTCAAAACCGACCGTGCAAATCACGGCTACACGGCTCGCTGGCTAATACGTTGTCTGCAACAGCGAGAGAGAGAGAGAGATAGCGACGCGTGACGATCAATCGAGGGGTCAGCGCGAGGGAGACAAACGAGTGATAGAGGGGTCAGCGCGAGGGACAAAAGAGAGAGCAGCCTCTTACATGTTCTCTATATGCTGTGAGCATATATACTGTCTTAGAAGCAGGGGCCAGTTGTCAGACAGTGTATAGAGAGGTTCACCAGAAGTAGCAACCTATCTCCCCCTCATCTCCCTCCCTCCTCTCTCTCTCTCTCTCTCTGTCTCTGTCTCTCTCTCTCTCTCTCTCTCCCACTCTCTCTCTCTCTCGCTCTCTCTCTCTCCCTCTCTCTCTCTCCTCTCTCTCTCTGCCTCCCCATCTCTTTGTCTCTTCCTCCTACACCCCTCCTCTCTTACTTTGTCTGTGACATGAACTCATCGTAGAGCAGGCGCTGACGCTTAGACAGACGACACATAACGACGTGCTCGTATTTTTTCGGCATCTGCTTCTCCACCTCACTCTTCAGCCTCCGCAGCAGGAACGGTCGCAGCACCTACGACCAAAGATGCCAACACGTATTTGAAGCAATCGGTAGTTTCTGGCCATCAAATTAGTAGTTCTACGTGACCCGAGTTTGCTAGGGGGGTCCGGCATGCCCCCCCCAAATTTTTTGATTCTGAGATGCAATTTCCTGCATTCTGAGGGTGAAAAATGACAATAAATTAACAAAAAATGACAATAATTAAATTTTTATTTTTTTCCGATCACAGTGAAATTCGTAGTTTCATACAAACTGGTCGTAGTGGTGCAAAAAGAATAAAAATTCGTATAAAATACGGATAAATCGTAGTGGTTGGCATCTCTGTACGATGCACGACAAATACCATGGCAACGATCGACGTGACAACCAAGGGAGCAAGGCGAAAATAAACTCGCACGTCGAACACAACAGATAGTAATAAGATAGAGTGAAATAGATGGTAGATAACTTCATGGGGGCAGCAACCACCCGGCCCCCCCCACCCGGGGAGCCATCCCTATCGCCGCCAGCATGCTCCAACAGAATCAGGGTTAATAGTAGTAAGACACATGACCAAGAAATAAGGACATTTAACCCTTTCTGGAGGCCAAAATAAGACTTTTTTACGCGATTTCTGATAGCTCACCGACTATGAAAGTACACTAATAATATTTATATACAGCAGATTTAATTATTCCGTATTATACATACAACAATACTGCAAAAAATAAGAACTATTAAGTACTTTTCTAAGATTTCACCAAAAATAAGTACTAATAAGGGGCCCCTTATTTTATTTTTGGCAAAATAAGTATTTATAAGACCTTGGAAGACCCGCTACGAACCCTGCAGATGACCGTCGCCAGCGCCACCTACCTTGTGCAGCCGCTTGATGAGATTCTCGT